CGCCGAGGCGGCGGGGGGCGGCGGCGAGGCGGCCCTAAGGGCCCCTGACGTCTTTGTTAAAAACGGGACTTGGAAGGGGCTTTTCCGCTTTCCCATCCTCCACCTACAGAGTGGCCTGCAAAGCAGCCCGAGGGCTTTTCTTCCCCCCTGGGGCAGGGAAAGGCAAGTTAGCTCCCAGGGTGACTCCACGCCCTGAGGGAAGCAGAGCTGAAACTTCGGTTAAGTTGCTTGCTTGCCTGAAGAAGCACCTGCCCTGTCAACCAGGCCCAGCTCTTGCTCAGCCTGATGCATGGCTGCCTCACTGGCTTTGTTAATAATTTCCATCACGAGCTACAGCCCACAAAAAAGCCCACGCCTCAAAGAAAGAAAAGAAAGTGCTCAAAGTGACAGTTCTGGGGTGCTCTCTATTTTCTAGAGCCCTCAGAGGAGGACAGGCTGTGCTCCAAGCAGAGCATGAGTCAAGGCATTTAACCACTCTGCGTCTCCCCTCCATCTATAGCACAGAGACAGTGACATTTACCTATTTAATAGCGTGCAAATCTTATGTTTTCTAAGTTATTCCTCTCTGGAGCTAGGAAGAGAGGATTATGAAGAGTACTATCAGAAACTGCAATTTTTTGCATTCAGTATATGTGGCCTTTTAGAAGAGTTAAATATTTTTCAACACATTTTTCTCAAGGGCTCAGATAAACCTCCGATTTTACCCATCTCCTTACATTAAGGCCAGCTACTTTACCTTGACCCAGCAGTTCTTCGCTTCTTATTCAGTTGTCTTTTGTCGTTGTACTGCCAAAACTGTATTTTCCCTAATCAGTAACTACTCATAATTTTAAGGTCTCTGGCAGCTACCTAGCATTATTCAAAGAAATCTGAAGCAATTCCACACCACCAGTCCACATTTAGATCAGGTTAAATTATTAATAAGACCAAGCAGTTCTTTAAAGCATTGGTTTAAATTAGGATTGGGAAATTAACTGAATCGAGAACATATATTGTTACAATTTTGTTAGATGTTTTAAAATAAATTTGGTAATAAAAACCTGATTTTTGAAGTGACACCTGATTTCAGCCATTGAACTGGGCTTATTGAGCTGTTTTTCTTCTAAATGGTACCTGGGGAATCCCATGGTTTAACGAAAACATGCTTTTTTAATTTGTAGGAAGGGATGAGTTTCCACACAACTATTCAGTAGATCATATATATTTGCTTGCTTTCTTTCCTCTCATGGTCTTTTTTTTTTTTTTGAGAACTCATAGGAACTAAGATCTCAAAACTTCTCAAGATGACCAGATCTCTTGATATAAATTTATAACTAAAATCTTCTCTACATTGCTTCTACTCCCTCTGCCATAACTTGTAGAATATGGAAGAGCAAATCCAAGTCACTGCTTCCTTAGATACTCAAGATCCTCAAAACTTTATCTCTGTGCTTACATGAACTCTTGATTTGATCCTCATTTATCACTTTGTCTCAAGGTACCCTTTGTTAACTTGGTTAAAGATTCTTAACTATCTTACTTACATCCCAGACTTATCTCTAGGAATTCATCATAAGTTTTTTCTGTTCTGTACTTACAGTTAATCCCTACTGTCTTTGATTGCCTTTTTTGATAACATTGAAAATGAGATAATCATAATTTAGACTTAGCAAAGAGCTTTAGATAAAATGCTGTTTTATGTACTTAATGAATGCACAAAGTCCTTTTTTTTCCCCGCCTCAGAAGCCATATTTGAACAGAAGCAGGACCTCACAGCCAAAGCTGACCTTTCATATCAGGGTTTATTCTTGTCTTTTATTTTATTTTTTATTTTTGCCAAGATTCCTTCTAAATATACACATCTATTGCAGCTCAAGGTCAAGGTGCTAGAGTGTCTTTTACCTTTTCCCACTACTGAGAGGTGCCACTATGGCCTTTCTACAGTAAATCAACAACAACAAAAAACAATTGAACAAATCCATGACACTACAAGCAAGAAGAAACCAAATAGGCAGCAGCAAGCACGATGATGCTCTAGCAAGTGAGTTGCCTTGATCTTTAGCCGGATGATAGAATGGCTTTGTATGACACAAACCATTAACAAATCTAAGTCTTCTCCAAAGACTTAAGTGCACTAATAAAAAGATATGAAGTGGAATAAAGTAATAAAAAGCAGTAAGAATACCAGTGCCAGGTCCCCTTTCCTCCTCCTTCCTCCCTACCAGTGAGCTGAAACAGCTTCCGCAGACATGGTGGCCTGGATCATGTCCCAGAAACACGGTTAGAGGAGAACATGTGTTAGCCAGTGTCAGAGCTCGTGGTTGCAGCTGTGCCAGGAGGTAATCCCTTCTCTGTAGGGATTTTCATCCCAAAAGCAGATACTCCTCAAGGCATCACTAGGGTAATCCCAGAAGTCAGAGGGTTTATTTCAAATCATTATTAAAATAATTATTTGCCTCAATATGCCTCAAGCATCTTTCTGAAAAGATGACAAAATTAGAGTAAATACAGACTGGGAGTGTTAGGAAAAAAGTTATCTTAAAAAAAAAACCTCACCTCTATGAGGTTTACTTTAGAAAATACACACCTTATCTCTGCATTCTGTGCCTATTTAACTATCATAAAGAACCACCAGATGCTCACTTTTCAATATTTGACAAGAAACCTTTTATAAAGCATGAAGCAACACCCATATTGTTTCTTCACAAACACAGAAGTGACACTAACACACACAGTTTTCAGAATTGCATTGACTGAGCAGTGAATACTGAAGCAGCACCTGAACCTGCAGCTGCATTGCAGCTTAGCATGGCCAAGTCTTTCCAGACTGCTGTGTCTCTGCTGCGTACGGTATATTCTTACGCACAGATTTTTTTCTAGGCTCTCAAGGACAACAGACCACAGGAACAAGCCATAGCAGTGACCACAAAAGCTCAGACATTTTTGTCTGCCCAGGTGAGCTCTTTAGTCTGTATACATTTAGGTTTGAATCCATATGATGGAAACATCTCAAAGAATAGCAGATAACCATGTTGCCTAACAGCAGTTTGTCATTAAACAGAAAGACGAATATTTAAAGTAATTTTAAGAACAATAAGTAGTCAAGCTTATAAAAAATACTTATTTTGCAAGATAAATGCACAGTACACAGGAAACCAGAAGGACTCCACTGTGAGAATGGAAAACAAGTGGCTTTCAGAATAACAGCTTGATGCATTTGCCAAAATGGAACAAAACTAGACTGCATGACCAGGATTTTTTAAATCCAAATGTTAAACCAGCTGTTAATTAACGTTTCTAGTACCACCAACAATTAGCTAGGCAGTAGCAATACAGAAATTTAGGGTGTGCCTTTGTCCTCCTTTCCTTCAGTTTTTGATTTTTAAACTTCCTCCTTCCTGGTACTCTATCTGAAAGGCAAACTTTAGAAATTCTTTTCACCTCTACATTAGAGAGAACACATTGCAACCACCCAGTTGTCCCTCACTCATTTGTGTGCTTTATTTCATTAAAAAAAAAAAAACAAAAACAAAAAACCAACAAAACCACCCTCATCCCCATTTGAACATGCTTTCTAGAGGGTCTGTATCTTTCACACAGGCTAAATTACAGTTTCCCTCAGGACAGTCCCTCCATTACTGCTATTTCGAGGAAGAGAGATTCCTATCTCCATCCATTTAGTTGCTCCAAAAGTTCTTTAAGCCAGTTGTGCATTTCTTTTAAGATCACATTACTTTTAGCAACTAGAAAAATCTGGAGCAGTTCAGAAGCACCTGTAACATCTTAATGTATTTTTCATTTGTCACTTTTTGCCACTTAACTCCAGCTAAATAAGACTGCTCAAGCATGTCAGTGCCACTTCAGCACTTGCATATATTTTGTTGGTACCGTAAGGCTCAAGTGCTGAAAGTGCAGAACATCTACACTCAGTTCAAAAATCTCGGTATCAGCATTCAAACCAAACAGGAACCACTAAGCAGGAAGTGTGAACAGCATCACCACAGAAAGGATATCCTATCACCTTTTCACTCAGAAGGATCACACATAGCACTCCAGGACTTTTTTTTTCTCTTTAGTTTAACAGGTCAGTAAAATTATCCTGAATTACAAACCTTATCAATTCTTATTTCTGCTCACAGAGATTTGAATTTTACTGAATTTAAATAACAGTCACCTTGGTCAACATATTTTCCTTCTTGGATTCTTCAAAGTAGAAATAAAGTTTACATTTGTAAGGGCTGAAATTTTCTGTTTGCCACATTATTAGAGAACGAAGTATTTAAACCTAGAAGACTTGAGTTTGATGTAAAAATAAAAAAAAAAAAAAAAAAAAAAAAAAAAAAGAGAGAGAGAGAGAGAGAAAACCAAAGGAAGGATATACACATGTATCCTTTGAGATGTGGACTTCAGTGAGTTCTTTCGGTTCACAAATTATTTGCCAATCTGCTATCCACAGGGATTTTGGCTACAGTGTTAACTTAGATTCAACGAATAAAAATAGCAAACAGTACATTAGCAGTCTAGCTCTTTCAAACTGGTGGAAGGCTTTCTGAACAGAAGAATCTCTTATCTATAGAAAAGATTCCTTTCTCCCCCCCACCCCACCTCTGCTCCTCCCTCAATGAAAGAACTCTTCTCTGCCCCCTCACTGAATAACATCTTCAATGCTTACTCAAACTTTTGATTGTGAATGCTAATTGTTACCATTTTAAACACCTTCTAAATACAAGTTCCAGACTGATACTAAAGCCCTGTAGGATAGGCTACCACCTCCAAACTAGCACAGAGTTCTACTTCAAAGTAGAACAGAAAAGACAGCTTTCAGCCAAGTGATTGCTTCTTGTTTATGCAAACATAAGAAAAAACAGGATAAAGTTTAGTATTTTCACTTACCTTTAAAAAGCAGGCAGGACATTAGGTGAAATTTTAACAGGTTCAGAAGACATGAAAAGAAGGGGGATTCAGGATTTCTCCAGAATATATACCCTTTGAAGTCCAAAGATAGGATTTAGAGACTCAGAACGTATCAGCCAGGAAAGATATTAAAGGGGGAGAAACTGAAGCTTTATTGATTTATTTGATTAAGAACCTGGACCACTGACAAATACAGCAGGGCATCAAGGCATGCACTCTATTTCAGTTATGACACAAACTAGAGATTTGAGGCTTATCTGAAAAAGCAGTTACCCTCTGGTTTTCTTTTGTACAATTTCCTATTGCTAGTGGCCTGTCTCTCTCATTACTACCTGATGTCAAAAATGAATTAATTAACACTGCAGACAGCCAGCATTCCCACAACCATATGGGGACAGTCACTGCTGCCAAGTCAGACATAAAAGCTCTCAGTGTGTTACACTCATATTTCAATCAATAAGATCTTCTAAAAGATTCTTTCCTAGAAGATATTCAGTGGAAGCTTTAAGTCTAGAAAGAACAAAGCTATTTATTTGTATGCTGAAATACATAGTCCAACTCTTGCTTCAAATCTGTTTGGCAAGTGGCCAGTTAAGAGTATATGTAAATAAAAAGCTGCTTAGATAAAGTAAAAATAAGCTGTGCTAGCTAACATTTGCTGAGAATGTAGCACAACTTTAGGAGAAGCAATTTCCTTATTTCCATTTGATCAGCTGTGCAGTAACATTTTAAATAATCGGGTTAGTGCATCATTAGAAGAAGGTACCAAATAGAGAAAAAGATGCATTAACAAACAACTATACTAGCAAGCACAAGCTCCTAAACTTTTGCTTATGTGCTCTAATATCATTTTGGAACCGTCGCTTGTAGTACTAATAGGTGCAACCATATTCGTATTAGAAATGCAGAACTGAAAGCCCTTTACATTTGCAACACTGCTTTAAGGACAGCTTATATAACTTAGGAAGAATGTATTAATTATTGTTTTTAAACAAGTCCTTCTAATGACCATTTACTCATTCACAAGTTTTTAAATAAAAGTTTATTAGAGAAATTTTGAACAAAAAAGGCAACAGCATCTGTTGTAAATTAAAAGAAAAAGTAACGTAGTTTTCTTCATCCTATAAGGTAAACTGAAGAAACACTACAGGTATTTCTTCTGCTGTCATTCTGTGATGCTTTCTAGCATGGATTAACTCACAAAACACAAGAATGAAGCATGAACATAGTCCCTTGCCATGCTTCTCTCCAGAAAGTGCTGCATATTAACAGAAAATATTGCAGACAAACCACAGTTTTATTCATTCTGCCGCATTGGAACCAGTGTCTAGGAAAGAAAGAAACAAGTATGAATAGTGCATATCCATGCTACAGAGCTGTAAGTTAACAAAAATCAGTACTATTCTTAAATATTCTCTCTGCGCTCATAACAGCTTTCTAGAACAGAACACGCTCTGAAACAGCCTAATTCTCTCCCCCGATACCAATGCAAGGCATGTACTGCTTTGAGTTTCACTGCATTTAGAAACAAGGAAGAGAACCAAAGCAAAACTTCAATGTTGGGCACACACATCATTTACTATTAAGGCATTAGAAACAGAAGCAGCTCTACTTTAACTCAAGGTTAGACACAAACATTTGACTGCAGTTAACCCCAAGCGAGTGCCAAGAGAAAGGTTTTTCCGTGTGCAGTAGCACAAGGTGCTCTTCAGTCTGGGCTGAAAAATGCATTTGTTATGCATTTTGACACATATGAGAGTATGATCTTCATAAAACAAGAGCAAGTCAATTACTTCCTTAAAAAAGGCTGAAGTGTTAATAGTAACTAAGCCATTCACTTTTTTAATAATACAGATGAGAAGTTTCTTCTACTATTTAAGCTCACAAAAAATAATAGATTAAGGAGACAATTTCAGTTTAGAACTACAGCTTTAAGGAACCTTGTAAGCATGCCAGAAATAGGAAGCCTGGAAGAACCTGTTTCAGAGTCTAAGGCTTATTTAACTAAAAGCTTTTCTATTCCCACTTCCTTCCAAAAAATGCTAAACAAGTGGCACCTTTTCATACCTCGTGACTGATATTCTGACACAGCTTTTAAAAAATTCTAAGCTATATCACTAAAAAAATATTCAATAAATTATCTTTTTTCTGTAAGCATTTTAAGGGAACACTCCCAACAGTAATTCACTCAGGCAGATAAAGAACATAAAGTCCAACAACAATGTACATACAAGGGGCCTCTTAAGTAGCATATAAATAAATGTGTGTATGTACTTTCTTATGTTTTCATATACTCACACATTTTTTAGAATACAATTGCTTGCTCACAGGAATTGAAGGTTCTTTGAATTTGATAAAACATGATACTGTTCTAACAAACAAGTTAATAGGAGAGAAATTACCACAGAGAAATGCAATTAGCATTTCTTCTAAGTTTATAATTACTTTAGCACTATGTCCAGTAGTCTCCCACACATTCCAAGTTCAGTGATTGCAATTTAAAGAGGCCTTCAGCTTACTCTTGTTTCATTTCACATCATAAAAGTGTTCACAGCCTTGCTTTTTTCTCAAGAATAGGATCAAACCACCCAGCTTTGATCACAGACATTTGGCCTGAACCTTCCTTAAATGCTCAAGTCTTGCATCCCTGTCAGCTTATTTAAATCATATTCCATACTTACTTTTTCCATCACATGCTACAATTTTCACTTTATCCACTTTGACAAGTTCAGTGACCTCCCTAAATTCAACATCATTCAGTACAAATGTCCACACGTTGTCACAGAACCTGTATGTATTCAGAGATCCCTTTAAAAAGACAAGAGACATTTTCCATTATATACATCACAAAAATATCAGGAAATAAGATGCTTACTAAGTTTACTGAACTATTTATACCCTAGAAGTATAAATCAGGTTTGTCACAGACAACTGCAAATCCCAATATATAGATGCAAACCTGACAAACAAGCAATTCTGAGGGAAACTGTAGTTTAATAACATTTAAATGCAGTTTAATAACATCCCATGAAGGGATGTTATAGTCTATGCAAGGAAGGTCCTTCACATGTAAAATAAAAGTTTTTTTATAATGTGCATAAAGGTTCAATACAACTTACTACAGAATCAGAAAATTTCTGAAGATAAGGCATATTTAAATTATAACAAGGATACCAAGATAAGAATACTGTGTAAGAAAATATCAGTAGCATAATTAAAACATCTTGACAAAATCAACCCATATCATCTAAAGGGCTTGTCCCTAGACTCGATGCCTTAAAGGTATTGACAACTTCATTTCTTGGCCTCCACCTTCAAAAGTTTTAAGTTGATATACATAGGAATTAAGCTTGAAGTAAGATTTTAATTCTCCAAGCATTTAGAACCAAGTTCTCTACACCATATTTGCTTTACACTTGGTGAATATCTAAGAGCTACAAGATGACTCACTGCTTGAAGGCAACACAACTCTCCACACCATAGCTATGGGTTAACTCACAGCTTCATCCCATGGCAAAATTCTCCCCATAATCAAAGTAACAGACAGCAATGCTACATGTCAAATCATTTTATGCTTCTTCCCCCTTTTTCGTGATCCTCCCCCTTTGCCACCTGCAGTCTGTGACTTGCAAATGCCAAGACGCTCCTTGGCAGAAGCCCAAGGTAACAGCCCTCAGTGCACACAAGCGCCCGCGGAGGCGGAGGAGCCCCCGCTGCGGCGCCGCTCACGCTCGGGCCCGCGGCAGCGCTCGCTCCCCGCGCCAGGGAGGCTCCTCGCGCACTGCCTTACCCTGAAGTTAACTCTGTTCCTGACTCGCTGCGCCAGCGCCGAGTTTATGGCTTTATCAAACTGAAGCAGCACCTGAAGGGCCAGCTGAGGAGTGATTTGTTGTGACTAGAAATTAAAGAAAAGAAAAACGGTCAAAGCAAGCGTTACACAGCAGTGCTCGCTCCCTCCTTCGCACGGCAGCCCCGGGAGCAGCAGCGCGTCGCTCGCGTGGCTCCCGCGCGGGGAAGGGCCGCCCGCGCGCACCTGGATGAGCTCGTCCAGGCTCTCCTGCAGGCTGTTGCCCAGCGTGGTGTTGCGGTACAGCTGGTAGGCCATGGCTGCCCCGCGGGGGCCGCCCC